AAACAAACCACTTTAAAAAAAAGGGGGGGGGGCAAACACAAATGTGTACATTCCACAGCCTGGAAGCAGTGCAGATGATCCTGCTCTGCATCTCAGAAAGATAGACCTTTAAAAATGGGACATCTTCAGAAAGGCCCCTCTGGCAAGCTAGCATGCCCAAGTGGGTTTATAAAGAGAAAGGTTGGCTTTTAGATAGCCTTAAGCCACTTATGGTTTTAAAGGTCAGTAATATTTTAAATTGTGCCTATTAAGCAACTGGCCCTGCAGATCTTTCAGTGTGGCATCACATAACCTTTGTAGTTTGCACCAATTAAGGTAGCTGCTATATTTCACACCAGTTGCAATTTTCAGACTTGTCTCAGAGTACATTGCAATAGTCGACACAAAATGTAACCAAGGCATGGATAATGAGCACTAAATCTGAGCAGAAATGGTTGCAACTGCCACACTATAATTGTACAAAAGTGGTCCTTGCTATGAAAATCCAAAGACAGCTGAGAATTGATGAGAACTGCCAGATGATGAACCTCTAAGTGTAACTCCATCCCAAACAGGCTGAATCTCCAGTTTCCTATTAACCAACAGCACTTCCACTTTCTCTGAATTCAGTTCCAGCTTGTTCTCTTGCATCCTGCCCATTATTGGGGGGAGGAGGAGGAGGAGGAGGAGGAGGAGGAGGTGGTATATGAAACACTTTCAGATTTCTCCTTACATTTTCCAGGACATGTATAGATATTGTAGTTGCATGCATTCCTGTAGGATGCTTGATAACTAACCATGGACATTTACTCAGAAGAAAATGCCATGGTTTTAGAAAGGATAACTCTGCTAAACGTATAAGAATCTTTAATCACAGAGCAGTGGTGTATGTTCATTTAGAAATACCCCACTATGCTTAATAGAGCCTACACCTGGGCAACATGCATAGGATTGCAGTTTTTTAATGTATATACAGAAATGACTTCAATTATTTCCCTACTCATTGGAAAAATGATTCAGTGCTTACTGAGCAGAAGCTACAGCTCTAAGCATAGGTTTATATTTGTGTTTCAGCCAGCTTAATTGCCAGTGGAAAAGTTTTCCTAGTAAATAATCTCTCATGCATGTGAATACTAACCAGCAACCATGATATCAAACCAATGGCTGTGTAAACTTGTCAATATAGTAAATACGATTTATCGTTTCCAGTCAGCGCAAATTGCTGCTTTGTTTGCAGAGAAGCCCTGGGTGAAAAGACATGGAGTGCTGAGATGAGCAAGGATTATAAAGGTCACACTCCCCTTTCCCTTCTGAGATTCTTATCGGCAAGGGGAGCAGAAGGAAAGCAAAAACGGAACACACATGACTCTCATTTCAAACTAATATATTAAGATATTTGTAAAGTTTTGAATGACTACAGCTTGTAAG